ACTATCAATGCTACCAAAATCTGACTAGGGTCGATCCACTGCCTTCAAATCACTACAGCTTTCCAATGTTGCACGGATCTTATATATTTATCAATTCAGCGACAGTACCGAGCAGACGTTAGTATAACATTTGGTGGGCAAATGCATTCACAAGGTATAACTACGACCGGTTCTATAAACTGCGATGCAAGGTGAGTAGGCACACTTCGTCGATTCCAGTTCTTCACGCTATTTTGCATTCGCAGGTGTGATCTCGGGCAATTGTTCTACTACAAAATGAGAAAAAACGAAATATTCTACTCCAAAATCTTTGTTGACGGAGCTAAGTGTGATTGGTGGGCTGAATCACTGTGAACGTGATGCAAATGACATACTAAGTGATTTTAGGATGAAAATATGCCTCCAGGGAAAAGGTGTGGACAAAAATAAAAAATTTCTTTGTGACGATCTGGACATGATATTCGTCTATATCCGAAACGGCTTTGTAGTGATGCCACAAGCAAGTTAGTGCATTTTTGGTCTAAGCAAACTCTGAAGTTAACGACCCTGGTTCACCCCCGAAGTTTGAGTTCAACCTGGCCTGAAAATGAGTGAGTGTTTGGGACGCGACCAGGACCGGCATGCGTTGGTTTGGAGAATTTTCTGGAACGAAGTCCCACATGACTTTATAAATTTTCACAAAGTTCTCGACGTAAAAACTAGGCAAGAAAATAACAGCAGTTCCAAACAACAACAACAAAACAACAACTTTTGCAGTTTAAAGGACCTTCTGGCAGGCATGTGAATAGAGCGCCATATCTATCAATGCGTTATCTATAGATCTGGCTCAAAAACACAAGAGAGACATTGGCTAGATTCACTCTCTTCATCATAAAAGAGCTAATGATTTGTTGTAGCGTGAGCAAATCAACTTCTCCTTGCCATGCTAGCGTTTTTTGGCGGAAGTAGTATTATATAGACTACATATCGTCAGCTTCAATCGCAAGTGTCAAACCATAGGACACATTTTTTGGGATAGTACAAAAAAGACGCTTCTCCACTTGAGTTGATCCTCTTTATCATTGAGATGACGGGTACGAGGTGGGGTTCGGCTTCCATGCGGACACCTCGCCTGAGCGCTACGTCTCTTGTGAAAAAAAAACTTTCCAATCATTTTCCCAGCTTGGGAAAGGCGTCGCTAGTAAAGTTTGGAAAAATTGAAAAGTATTCTCGCAAGGGAAATGCAAGTCTAGGAGAGGCTGCCGCTCTCATGTTGAGCATGGTCACTTCCAGTGATACAGCTTGGGTATTATCATTATTATTTATTGCATAGGCTATCCTATGTTGACAGAAACAAAATCAACAAATGAACATATTTGAACAACAAACGATAGAGCTTATCAGTAACAATGACGTAGTAAAACATCCTACCACAAATTCATGGTGAAAGTAATAGTTTTCCAGGACTGCCTTGAAGGCACTGTCCAGGTCCACTGGGG